ATGGGAAGATGTCACCCTCAGGTACCCCCCATGTCTCCTTCATGTCCGGGAATGGAAGGATTGTTTCTTTCTCGTACAGCTGGTGGATATGGGATATTCCCAGTAGAGTCCACCTGGAGAGAGGAATCGTAGGGTTCGCAGCTCTGAGCACTGTCGATGGGGTCCTGGGGTGGAACTGTTTCCTCCATCCCAAGGAGAACATGAACTCGTCCCATATCTTAACAGTCGCTGCTGTTGTGGGGTATAGGGTTATGGTTGGGCTACAAAGGGCTCTTGGGGACCACATGAGATCGGTCAAGCTTGGGTGGCCAAGTTGGTCTTGTTCCATGTCTACCCACTGGACTGCTCCTCCCAGAGTATGTAGGGCTATTACCGTTGCTAGTAGTAAGGCCTTATAGTACAGCCCTATATTGGGCAGACTGATGCCCCTCGTGGGCGTCATCTTTTGTAAAAGACCCCACCCCCCCATATGTACGAACTGCAAATGGCTTACAATGATTTGCAGAGTGTCATGGGGATCCCTACTGGAAGCATTCGAAAAATATAGAGCAATCTCGGTAATAACATCTTCACCCTCCCAGCCACGAAAGCTTTGCATTTTTACATTTAAGGGTTTCTGTTTGGCACATCTGTATAAGGGGTTTGTAATTCAGTTTCACTATGCCTTCGATGGAAGGGGCGATTTTAACTCCTAAGTAGGTTATGGATGATTTCCGCCAGTCTAATTTGAATGTGGTCTGTAGGGTGTCTATGGTCGCCCAGGGTAGGCCTATTGGAAGGGCTTGTGTCTTCTCCTGGTTCAAGCGATAATATGAAACCCCACCATATTCCGTCAGTAAGGACAGTAAGGGAGGCAGTGATCGGATCGGGTCCGACAGGGCCACGATGATATAGTCAGCGAATAGAGCTAGGTAGTAGTCCCTATCCTTCAGTGTAATGCCCTGTATGTCCGAGTGTAGCCTTATTTTTCAAGCAAGGGGCTCTAGAGAGAGAAAATAGAGGAAGGGGGACAGTGGGCAGCCCTGGTGAGTCCCGTTAGATATGTGGAAGGTAGAAAGGACCAGTGGGAGACATTGGCGTTGGGCTTGGCATACAATGCTAGTATGCCCTTAATTATTTCCGTGGGGAATTTGTATTTGGTGAGTACTCGTGACATATAGTTCAAATTCAGTCTGTCGAAGGCCTTTTTGGCATCTAGTCCCTTCTCCATCCCTGCCACAACGTTCAACACTTTCTGGGAGTTGGCCCCGAACAAACCCAGATTGATCATTATGAACCAATTTGTGTATTAGTGGGGGCAGTCTGTTACTGAGCAATTTTGCATATATCTTGGCATCACTGTTGAGCAAAGATATGGGCCTGAAATTTTTGCATTGGTCCATTCTTTTGCCCGGTTTGGGAAAGGTGGAGATGTGAGCGAGCAGCATCTCCTCTGGTAGGGAGCTCTCCACCGTGTAATGATTGAACAAGTCTCGGAGGGGTTGTGAGAGTGTGGTAATATTTGTTGGATAGACCATCAGGTCCTGGGGCTTTATGGGATGGGAGTGAAGAGATTACCGAGGCAATCTCCTCCATGGTGAACGGGCATCGTAGCTGCTCGATATCGGTAGCTGATAGGGTCGGGAGGCTAACGTCTGAGAGGAATGCGTCTATGGCTGCCGTGGAGGGGCTGATTGTCTGTGGGTAGTCTTTCAGGTTATACAGTTGTTCATAATATTGTGCAAACTCGTCCATAATCCCCTGTGGGTCTAATATTTTGTTACCCCTAGTGCCCGTAAGGGAGGCAATCTTTGAGGCCGCAGCCCTTTGTTTCAATTGAGAGGTCAATTTCGCCCCTGCCTTTTTACCAGCAGCGAAGTATCTATGTTTGAGCCTCCGTATGAGGAATGTAGTCTTGGCCAGTTCCATGTCTCTAAGCTGGGATTGGAGAAGGAGCAGCCTAGTGTTGGTTGATGCAGTGGGAAAGTGTTTATTGGTATGGGTTAATAAGGTCAGTTCAGAGATCACTGACGTGTATTTCTCCAAGTGCTTTTTTTGGCGTAGCTAGCGTGTTTAATAAAACAGCCCCTGATGTAGGCTTTGTGTGCCAGCCAAATTTGGTCTAAGGGCGAGTCTGGGGTTTTATTTTCTCGGAAGTAATTCTGCAGATCCCACTCAATCCCCGTTAGAGAGGAGGTGTGAATGAAGAATCTATCTATTCTCGAATAGATGTTGTGCGCCACTGCGTGGAAAGTATAGTCCCTCTCTGTGGGGTGTGTTACCCGCCAGGGGTCTACATAGTTCAAGTAGTTTGCGACATGTGTGTGAAATTTGTTTGGACCTATGCTTCAGTGTCTGGTCCGCCAGTCCTGGGCCCCGGGAGGAGCCCAGGTCACTGTCCAGTAGGAAATTGGTGTTGCCTCCAATGATTACCTCACCAAAGGCATGTACAGACACCATGTAAAGAGAAGATCTACAAAGTCACATTGGTTAGCATTTGGCCCATAAACATTGATTAAGGGTTTATTGTTCAAATAACATTGCAATATAAGGTACCTTCCCTTCTTATCCCCCACTTTGCGCACCAAGGAAAAGGCCACATCCTTGCTGATAAGCATATACACTCCTCTCTTTTGTTGAGTAGCATGAGTGGTAGTCTACGGGGAACGCTGGGGAGTTGAATTTATGTTGGCTGCCCCACTTAAAATGCATCTCCTGAAAAAATGCTACAAGGACTCACTCTGAGGGTTTTTGCTTCGCGTAGAGTTAGGCGACGTTTATTAGGGGAGTTCAGCCCCTTGGTATTTAGGGAGAAAAGCTTAAGTACCATCATAAGTAAGGCAGAGGTTGTGGGCTAAACTGGGTGAGGTGGGTTGTATCCCGCTAGGGCGCCACACTAGGGTCTCATTTTGTTTCCTGGACAGCTCCGGTATATGCCTTTGTGTGGTGGAAGTAGTGGCTGCACGCTGTAGAGTGCTCTTTTTGCTCTCCTTGTGGTGATACAGGACAGATGGGGAGATCATCTAAACTGATCTGATACACAATATTTGCTATATCTAACATGATGTGCAATTTTTCAATTTGCATCCATTTTTAATACATTACAGTCTCCCACTCGAATCTCAATCTTAAAAGACATCACCCACAAACACCCAGTATACCAATACTCTGCATCTATACAATCTCTGCTGGCCACGTATAATGCCTCAAACCGACCTGGTAGAGGAATGACATAGAAACAAAGAATGTGACGGTAGATAAGAACCATTCGGCCCATCTAGTCTGCCCATTTTTTAAAAAAAATACTTTCATTAGTCCCTGGCCTTATCTTATAGTTAAGATAGCCTTATGCATATCCCTCGCATGCTTAAACTCCTTTAATGTGTTAACCTCTACCACTTCAGCTGGAAGCCTATTCCATGCATCCACTACCCTTTCGGTAAAGTAATACTTCCATGGGCGGACTGACCACTCTGGCACTTTGGTCATGGACCGAGGGCCAGAGGCAGTCAGGGGCCCGGCCGCACAGCCATGTTCCAGCTGGAGAGATTAGAGATCTCTCCAACTGGAACAGCAAATGTAAAATAAAAAATCATTTCCTTTAATAGGTTGCTGGGGCCCCCGATGCAGCGCAGGGCCCCAGCAACCACCCCTCCCATGAGACCTGGCAGCTTCACCTCCTCTCTGCCAGGTCTCCTTCTCCCTGTCCCGCAGTGCTCTGTGTGATGGGAGAGGCGGGGCCAGGAAGTGACATCACTTCCTGTACTCTCCTCTCACACACAGAGCCCGATGAGGGGAAGGAGCGGCAGCCTGGGAGACCACAAGGAGCAGAGAGACAGGTAGGCACAAAACACCGCCCCCCTCACTGTCACTAGTCACCCCTTCCCTCTCTCCCTCGTCACCCCTTCCCTCCCTCCCTCGTCACCCCTTCCCTCCCTCCCTCGTCACCCCTTCCCTCCCTCCCTCCGTCACTAGTCACCCCTTCCAGAGTGAGGGAGGGAAGGGGTGACTAGTGACAGAGTGAGGGAGGGGGTGACTAGTGACAGAGTGCGGGAGTGGGTGACTAGAGACAGAGGGAGGGATGGGGTGACTAGTGACAGAGTGCGGGAGTGGGTGACACAGTGACAGAGTGCGGGAGTGGGTGACACAGTGACAGAGTGCGGGAGTGGGTGACACAGTGACAGAGGGAGGGATGGGGTGACTAGTGACAGTCACCACCTCCCTCACTCTGTCACTAGTCACCCCCTCCCTCATTCTGTCACTAGTCACACCCTCCCTCCCCTGTCACTAGTCACCCATTCCCTCCCTCACTCTTTCACTAGTCACACCCTCCCTCACTCTGTCACTAGAGTGAGGGAATGACTGGTGACAGAATGAGGGAAGGGGTGACTAGTGGCAGAGTGAGGGAAGGAAGGGGTGACTGGTGACAGAGGGAGGGGATGACTGGTGACCGAGTGAGGGAGGGGGTGATTAGTGACAGAGTAAGGGAGGGAGGGGGTGACTAGTGACAGAGGGAGGGAAGGAGTAGTGACAGAGGGAGGTGGTGACTAGTGACAGAGTGAGGGAGGTGGTGACTAGTGACAGAGTGAGGGAGGGAAGTGGTGACTAGTGACAGAGTTAGGGAGGGAAGGGGTGACTAGTGACAGAGGGAGGGAAGGAGTAGTGACAGAGTGAGGGGGTGACTAGTGACAGAGTGAGGGAGGTGGTGACTAGTGACAGTCACCACCTCTCTCACTCTGTCACTAGTCACCCCCTCACTCTAGTGACAGAGTGAGGGAGGGGGTGACTAGTGACAGAGTAAGGGAGGGAAGTGGTGACTAGTGACAGAGTTAGGGAGGGAAGGGGTGACTAGTGACAGAGTGAGGAAGGGGGTGACTAGGGACAGAGTTAGGGAGGTGGTGACTAGTGACAGTCACCACCTCCCTCACTCTGTCACTAGTCACCACCTCCCTCACTCTGTCACTAGTAACCCCTTCCTTCCCTCACTCTGCCACCTGTCACCCCCTCACTCTAGTGACAGAGTGAGGGAGGGTGTGACTAGTGACCGAGAGAGGGAGGGTGTGACTAGTGACAGAGAGAGGGAGGGTGTGACTAGTGACAGAGTGAGGGAGGGGGTAACTAGTGACAGAGTGAGGGAGGGGGTAGTGACAGAGAGGGTGGTTGTGATTAGTGACAGAGGGAGGGATGGGGTGACTAGTGACAGTCCCACACTGTCATTGTGTCACCCCCTCTCTCACTCTGTCACCACCTCCTTCACTCTGTCACTAGTCACCCCCTCACTCTAGTGACAGAGTGAGGGAGGGTGTGATTAGTGACAGAGAGAGGGAGGGTGTGATTAGTGACAGAGTGAGGGAGGGAAGGGGTGACTAGTGACAGTCACCATCTCCTTCACTCTGTCACTAGTCACCCCCTCCCTCAGTCACTGTGTCACCCCCTTCCTCACTCTCACTAGTCACCCACTCCCTTCCTCACTCTGTCACCAGTCATTCCCTCACTCTGCCACTAATCATCCCTTCCCTCACTCTGTCACCAGTCACCCCTTCCTTCCTTCACAGTGACAGAGTTAGGGATGGGGTGACTAGTGACAGAGTGAGGAAGGGGGTGACTAGGGACAGAGTGAGTGAGGGGGTGATTAGTGACAGAGTGAGTGAGTGGGTGATTAGTGACAGAGTGAGTGAGGGGGTGACTAGTGAGGGAGCGGGTGACACAGTGACAGAGAGATGGATGGGGTGACCTATGTTGTTGTCACCCCCTCCCTCAGTCACTAGTCACTACCTCCCTCTGTCACTAGTCACTCCCTCCCTCTGTCACTAGTCACTCCCTCCCTCTGCCACTAGTCACTCCCTCACTATGTCACCAGTCATCCCTTCACTCTGTCACTAGTCATCTCTTCCCTCCCTCACTCTGCCACTAGTCACCCATTCCCTAACTCTGTCACTAGTCACCCCCTCTCCCTCTCTCTGTCCCTAGTCACCCACCAGTCACCCCCACTCACTGTGTCTCCCCCTCACTCTGCCACCACTCAACCCCTCACTCTGCCACCAGTCACAACCTCCCACACTCTTCTACCTGTCACCTTCTCCCTCACACACTCTGTCACCTGTCACATATGCATTCACAGAGACACTATATACAAAAAAGCACATGTCATCCAGACATGCACAAGTGCATTCACACAGACTCAAATACAAACATGCATTGATACACAGGTCTTCACAATATACACATCCAAAGGAATGCCGTATTATGAGTTATATTTAACATTTATTTAATGCACATATATTTGGCCTTCAAAGGGCCTGGGATCTAATTTTGCCCGGGGCCCCCAAATACTTCTAGATATTTTTAAACCTTTGCCCCTCTAATTTAGGGCTATGTCCTCTTGTTGTGGTAGTTTTTCTTCCTTTAAATATAGTCTCCAACTTTACTGTGTTGATTCCCTTTATGTATTTAAATGTTTCTATCATATCCCCCTGTCTCGTCTTTCCTCCAAGCTGTACATGTTAAGTTCCTTTAACCTTTCTGGGAAGTTTTATCCTGCAATCCATGAACCAGTTTAGTAGCCCTTCTCTGAACTCACTCTAAAGTATCAATATCCTTCTGGAGATACGGTCTCCAGTACTGCGTACAATACTCCAAAAGTGAGGTCTTACCAGTGTTCTGCACAATGGCATGAGCACTTCCCTCTTTCTACTGCTAATATCTCTCCCTATACAACCAAGCATTCTGCTATCATTTCCTGCTGCTCTATTACATTACCTGCCTACCTTTAAGTCATCAGAAATAATAACCTCTAAATCCCTTTCCTCAGATGTTGAGGTTAGGACTCTATCAAATATTCTGTACTCAGCCCTTGGGTTTTTACGTCCAAGATGCATTATCTTGCACTTATCCACAATAAATGTCAGTTGCCACAACGCTGACCATTTTTTTAGTTTACCAAAATCATTTGCCATTTGGCTTATCCCTCATGGAACATCAACCCTGTTACATATCTTCAGCAAAAAGACATACCTTACCACCTTCTCCAATATCACTAATAAAAACATTAAAGAGGTCCAAGTACAGATCCCTAAGGTACCCTGGTGACAAGCCCATGCTTTGAATATACTCCATTGGCTACAACCCTCTGTTGCCTGTCACTCAGCCACTGCCTTACCCATTCAACAATATTGGAATCCAAACTTAAAGATTGCAGTTTATTGATATACTATTTCCTGAAACAATTAAGCTAGACTGTTTAATCTCTTCTCCTCGTCCGGGGCTACACCCCTGATATACATATATACAAAATGTGAGTACTGTTTTTACGTGATGTCATGTTTCACTCAATGTCTTGCTCCTGTCACACTGCATTATTATGAATGCGCTTGTTCTTGCTGTTGTGGCAAGAAGAGCTTCTGTATACCTGATTGTGCACCAAAATTAAAGAATAATAAAAAATTTTTTTTTAAAAAAGACAACATAAGCATAAAGTTACATTCTATAGATACCAGGGAACAAACCTAGCACTATCGCCATGTGCCTCGAGTTGTCTCACCCTCTGAAGCTGCTAGAACATATCATATTTCAATAATCAGATGGAGTAAAGGAATGAGGACCGATTTTGGAAGTCAGCTTGTGACTGATATTAGCCACTATACAGCACCTAGACACGTGACAGGTGCACTTTAAGCACTAATTTCCAAGAAAAGTTCCAAGTTAATCAATTGCACAAATAACCAAGTTTGTATCCAAATTAACAATAAATATGTTTATGTGTGGTTAAATCCAGTGTAAAGACCTACAACATATCTTTTTATACAATGAAATAGAAATCACATGATCTTAAACAAGTTGTTAGAAAGGCAGCATTGTCCTAAGTTGTTATCGGAGTTTGCTGTTGCATTTGACAGATATTCACCAAGTATTTGCAGATACAGTCCTTTCCACATTTTGTTGTATTACAATATATACACACATCACTATTATATACAGTTTGTACACAAGACTTTTAGTGGTAAAGCCTTTAGTGCCTGATGATATGAAATAATTTTACACGTCAATGGCACTGAAAGGGTTAAAAAAACAGTGTTTGACCATGTTGGCAGATAGGTGAATTGCTATTACAGTGCACAATACGGTTTATACAAAAACAGAAAAGACACAACAGAAATGAATCCACCAACATATATCACTAGAGAAACAAAAACAAATAAACAGAATTGCTTAGTGTATGTAATTGTACAGTGAACCACTCTTGCAACAGAGGATCATTTTACATACCCTTAGATTAAGAATCAAACTTATAATAAAATATGCGCACAAGCAAAATATGGACACTTTTGGCCAGGGCTTCATAACAGAATACAGTTCCACTTGCCATCACTGGATAATCATTTCATTATAATTTACCACTCAAGTAAGATCTTACCTACTTTGGACTAACGTGTTTTAATAATCTTGCTTTAAAATTGGGATTGGGATAACGTCAGAGGGAATGCACGAGCACCAAGAAATTTCTGCAGGCTCTCCAAATTAAGGATATTGGTGATATCTTGAAGAAAATCTTGTCGTATCCAACGCAAATACATACCGGTAGATATTTAAGAGGCATTCAAGTGTTACTTCTAATGATATCCCAATTTTCCAAGATGATATGAAAGTCTTTCACATAGATATCTCACCCAAGTAGAGCTTTATTCTGTTACTGCCATGGCACACAAATGACCATACTGTGCTAGAGCACATGCATAGTTATATATTTCTAGATGATTTTTAAAAAAATATACATTCATATCATGCTATTTCTTTTGTATATTCTATTATCAGCCACCACCAGTTATTGTCATTGTCTATGAGACTGCATATACTTTTTATTATCTAATCTAAAGGCTTGTAAAGTTACCTAAACTAGGTTCTACAGTGGGGCACGTGCATCAGTATACAGTTATTTACCCTGTGTGATTCTGCACGCCTTATTTGTTTTTGTTTCTCCTGAATACTGTTCACACATTACATTACAATATTCCAACAAATACCTCTTACATTGCAGGATAACAACTAACTGATGGATTTCTGGAAGCTATTTAATATATCTTACAACACATGGCTCTATTAGTCAATGGAAAACTGGGGCAATTATTGGGTTAATTGCTATAAACAGAGAAACAAGCAGCAAGATTAGTTTATATGAAGCATGTTGCAATTGTACTACTAGATTCACCATTCCTGTTTTTGCCTCTATAGATAGAACTCACAGTAATTTCTTATAGCATGAGTCCAGAGTCATAATGCAAATTTTCTCTACGTAGATTTATTTAAGGCAGCAATGTAGAACACCATGATACCTGTAGTGCAGACACACAACTATGCCTTTTTCTAAGGCCTGTTGTATGCTTTACATAAGTAATGACATTTCACAGTGAGCAGTATAAATATACAGTGTATTAGGAAGGCAGCCAGAAAATAATCTTTTAAAGGGATACCATAGGCACCAAACCAACTTGGCGTAATGAAGCAGTTTTGGTGTATGGATCATGCCTCTGAAGTCTTACTGTTCAACAGTCTGTAATTTACAAGTTAGATCACTTTTGTTTCTGTTTATGCAGCCCTAGCCACGCCTCCCCTAGCTGTGACTCACACAGCCTGTATGAAAAAAAAGTTTAATTTTCAATCAGATGTTAACTTGTTTTAGACGTTTGTATCCCATGCTCTGTTTAATCACACACAGGAGGCTCCTGCAAAGTCTAGAAAGCTATTAAAGCAGTAGTTAAGACATTTTACATTAAGCATTCTGTGCAAAAAAGTGACCTAGAAAATCTAGATTCCTTTTCAGGAAGTGTTTATGAAGGCTGTGTAAGTCACGTGCAGGGAGGTGTGACTAAGGTTGCATAAACAAAGTGATGTAACTCTTGAATGGCAGAGAATAGAGAAGTGAGACTACAGGGGCATGTTCTATACACCAAAACTGCTCAATTAAGCTAAAGTTGTATTTGTGCCTATAGTTTCCCTTTAAGCATTGCTGTAGGGCATTTAGTTTGGGAACGGATAGTGATAGTTTCAGTGTAAATGATTTAGGCGTCATCTTAATCACAAGTAAATAATGCTCATTACCTTGTGCAGCTTAAAAAATAAGTTGCCAATTATGTGACATTCAAAAGGTTCTAAACACAACACATTTCCAAATCACTATATTAAGCCATACTTTTGTGTATGTTAATTATGTAGATACTGTATCAGCATAGTAAATCAGACTCAAATGTTTCCATTCTCCAACTTTCTACCCTCTTAAATAATCTACTACATTTTTTTTAGCAATTGTTATTGTTAGTGCACTTTCACCATATACCATAGGAGTAAAGAGAATGAATTCTTAATAAGAATTGTTTAGGTTTAAGGCACGAAGAGCATTCACATTGCAGTGTCATTTTTTTCTGAACACATTTAACATTGTGACTCTATTCACTTGTATCCATTGCAAAGGGCAAGATTATATATATATATATATATATATATATATACACACACACACACACACACACACACACAGCGGAATAAAGGATAGGTTGTAGCTGCAGACTATATATTGTATTGTTTTCCAAGGTTAGATTTGACTTTGTGTATAAAGCTCAATGGCCTTCGGACATAAGGCCTACAAGTATCTGGTCCCCAATCAAACTGTAGATATTTTACCAATCGTCTTATTGTGCTTGTGTTAGTGAATATGCCAATATATGGCATTCATAAATATGTTGTCTGCTTCCTAAGCTCATATAAACAATGAGAGGCTTTAGCAAGTTCTGTACTTTTGCAGAATGGATATTTAGAGAAAGCCTTGGTTATAAATGACCAAATTGTCTTGCTGTTCATTAGTCCAAGAGAACTGACATTTATATAGAACCTTTCCCTTATAGAAGAAAGT